GGAAGTGTTTACTAGAGTTGGACGTGACGAAGGCTATAGGCCCAGATGGAATCTCCCCTTGGGTTCTAAAGGAAGGAGCAAGAGAACTGAGCCTACCACTCTCCATAGTGTATAACAAATCACTGGCAACAGGGGAACTGCCAGATATTTGGAAAGCAGCTAACGTAGTCCCGATATACAAGAAAGGGGATAGACAGGAGGCACTGAACTACAGGCCAGTGTCCCTAACCTGCATACCATGCAAGCTGATGGAGAAGATTGTGCGAAAAAAACTAGTGGAGCATCTGGAGCGAAGGAACTTTGTAACACAGCATCAACATGGGTTCAGGGATGGCAGGTCCTGCCTCACAGGGTTACTTGAATTCTACGACCAGGCAACAAAAATAAGGCAAGAAAGAGAAAGGTGGGCAGACTGCATATTTTTGGATTGTCAGAAAGCCTTTGATACAGTGCCACACAAGAGGCTAGTGCGAAAGTTGGAGATGCAGGCTGGAGTGAGAGGGAAGGTACTCCGGTGGATAGAGGAATACCTAAGCAACAGGAGACAACGAGTCTGTGTGAGGGGTGAGGTCTCAGATTGGCGAGACGTCACAAGTGGAGTCCCGCAGGGGTCAGTCCTTGGACCTATACTGTTTCTGGTATATGTAAATGATCTCCCAGAGGGTATAGATTCGTTCCTCTCAATGTTTGCCGACGATGCAAAAATTATGAGGAGGATTGAAACAGAGGATGATAGTAGGAGGCTACAAGATGACCTGGATAGACTGAGTGAATGGTCCAACAAATGGCTGTTGAAGTTCAACCCGAGTAAATGCAAAGTAATGAAACTAGGCAGTGGAAACAGGAGGCCAGGCACAGGATACAGAATAGGAGATGAAGTACTTAATGAAACAGACAGAGAGAAAGATCTAGGAGTTGATATCACACCAAACCTGTCTCCTGAAGCCCACATAAAGAGAATAACGTCTGCGGCATATGCGAGGCTAGCTAACATCAGAACGGCGTTCAGGAACCTGTGTAAGGAATCATTCAGAATCTTGTACACCACATATGTAAGACCAATCCTGGAGTATGCGGCCCCAGCATGGAGCCCGTACCTTGTCAAGCACAAGACGAAGCTGGAAAAAGTCCAAAGGTATGCTACTAGACTAGTCCCAGAACTAAGAGGCATGAGTTATGAGGAAAGGCTGCGGGAAATGCACCTCACGACACTGGAAGACAGAAGAGTAAGGGGGGACATGATCACAACCTACAAAATCCTCAGGGGAATCGACCGGGTAAACAAGGATGAACTTTTCAACACTGGTGGGACGCGAACAAGGGGACACAGGTGGAAGCTGAGTACCCAAATGAGCCACAGAGACGTTAGAAAGAACTTTTTCAGTGTCAAAGTAGTTAGCAAATGGAATGCATTAGGAAGTGATGTGGTGGAGGCTGACTCCATTCACAGTTTCAAATGTAGATATGATAGAGCCCAATAGGCTCAGGAATCTGTACACCAGTTGATTGACGGTTGAGAGGCGGGACCAAAGAGCCAGAGCTCAACCCCCGCAAGCACAATTAGGTGAGTACAATTAGGTGAGTACACAGGGGGGGGGGTGATGCTGGTTGCTGAGTGGACAGCGCTCTAGATTCGTGGACCTAGGGACCGGGGTTCGATCCCCGATCCCGGCAGCCCGCGGAAAAACAAATGGGCAGAGTTTCCTTCACCCTGATGCTTCTGTTACCTAGCAGTAAATAGGTACCTGGGAATTAAAAAGCTGCCATGGGCTGCTTCCTGGGGTGAGTATGTGTGTGTGTGTGTGTGTGTGTGTGTGTGTGTGTGTGTGTGTGTGTGTGTGTGTGTGTGTGTGTGTGTGTGTGTGTGTGTGAAATATAATTTGTTAGTGATTAGTAACTGTTGAGAGGCGGGCCGAAAGAGCAGAGTTCAACCATCCCCCCGCAAGCACAACTAGATGAATACACACACACTATAATCTTTAATATGTCGTGGTCCATAGGGCCGACCATAGAACACCTACAAAATTTTTCCCTACAAAATAGGGAATTGAACACCCTATTCAGTTCTCAGGGGGAATTGAATCGGGTGGACAAAGGTAAACTATTTACCACGGGTGGAACACGAACAAGGGGACACAGGTGGAAATTTAGTACTCAAATAAGCCACAAAGACATTAGATTTTTTTCAGCGTCAGAGTAGTTAACAAATGGAATGCATTAGGCAGTAATGTGATGGAGGCTGACTCCAAACACGGTTTCAAAGGTATATTTGATAGAGCCCAGTAGGCTGAAGAATCTGAATACCAGTTGATTGACGGTTGAGAGGAGGGACCAAAGAGCCAAAGCTCAATCCCCGCAAGCACAACTAGGTGAGTACACGCACGCATGGGGGCCTCGTTGGTGAGGGATAGCGCTGGGGGGGGGGGGATCGTAGTCCTAATGGCCCGGTTTCTATTCCCGGTGGAGGCAGAAACAAATGGGCAGAGTTTCTTTCACCCTGATGCCTCTGTTCACCTAGCAGTAAATAGGTACCTGGAAGTTAGACAGGTGCTACCAGACTGCTTCCTGGGGATGTGTGTGTGTGTGCATGTGTGTTAGAGATAAATATATGTAGTGGATATAATAGTAGATTTATTTTTAATAGGTTAGAAAGGTGGGATTCAAGAGCAAATAGCTCGATTCTGCAGACATAAATAGTAAATACACACACGTACACCCACTACTGGTGATGGAAGATTTCAATCATGAGCAAATTGACTGGTAATAAATTCGTCTGTGAGTGGAGAAGAGACAGAGAGCAAAACTCATAGAGGTTATAGAAAGAAACTTCCAAACACAACATGTCCCAGATGAAACACGAAGACAAAGGGAGAAAGAGGAGTAGACCCACAACCACCATGATTAGACTTAGTCTTCCCACAAAGGAAAATATACATTGAAAACTTTGAGCATGAAATGCCACTGGGGGCAAGTGACCACTGTTTACTAATCTTTGATTATGTAGATTATGAAAGCAGTGGCTAGGGAAAGAGAAGAGGGGAGTGGAAAATTAGCTTTCCATAAAGGCGAGAACCAGAATATAAAATGAGTTTTAGAGAGAATACCATGACAACTAGAACTAAGAGACAACACAAGGCATGATGGGCTACATAACTAGCCAATGCAAAGGAGCTGAAAGGAGATTTATACTGTCCTTCAGGGATAATGGAACCAAGAGAAAACAATATCTCATGGTTTAATAGACAATGCTTAGAGGGGGGAAAAGGGGAGAAGCAAAGTAACTTGGAAAAATAAAGAGAGCACAGAACATAGGAGAACCAAAACACATACACCAGAGAGAGGAACGAATACACAGGCGCTCGGAGAGCAACAAATAACATTCTTCTTCATCTTGAAAAAACATAGATTAATTACTGATTCACAACATGGTTTTACATCAAATTTACTGTTCATGTTTAAAAAATTTGCTATCATCTTATTCCAGCATAGTTGAGGCAGTTGATAGTGGTAAGGTTTGTGATGTCGTGTACCTTGACTTTAGCCATGCTCTTGACACAGTGCTACATGAAAGACTGATTAAAATAATAGAAGCTCATGGTATGTTGTTTGCCTGTAGGTCCCTCCTAACCACTCCACATACTTCGGTTACCTTGGTGTGTTGCGCAGGCTCCTGTGTCAGGTTAGGTCTGCGCTGGTGGGTTTCGATGGGTTTCTTCGGCATGGCTGTCCTCCTCCCTTGTCGGATCGTTAGTGCCGGGTTGTAGACCTGCTCGGACGAGGTGATCCTTGATGGACTTACCTCACCTCCACGCAATCATTGGAGGATTTTGCGGGAAATCCTCCCAAGAAGGATGGTCACTGTATGTCTCCCTCATCCAGGTCCATACGTCTGAGAGTTTGTTTTAGTTCCCTACAAAACCAGGAAAGAATAGGGTAGGGAGGATCCATCTCCTATCCTCCAACTTTGGGGCCCGGAGCCTGAGAAGTTGTTCTCTGGTCTTCTCGTGAAGTTTTTCCTGGGCGTAGTTCAGCATTTCCTCAGGGAAACCTCTGCGCCTAAACATCTCCCACAGGTTGTCTAGCTGAGGGTAGAGGGTTTCGTCCTTGCTGTTTATTATTTTAAGGAGTAATCCTAGGGAGAAGGGTAATAATTTCTTTGGGGCTAGCGGATAGCATGAGTCGAACCTCGGGTATGTGTGAAGGTTCGTAGGTTTATAATATGCCTTCGGGTTCATATGTCGGGTTGTTTCGTCCACGTACACTGTGGTGTCCAGGAAATTGATTGTGGTGCCGTAATATTCTAGGGTAAATTTTATGTTTCCGTGGACTGTATTCGCCAAAGCAAAGAAACCCTCTAGACGTGGGAGTCCGCCTACCATGACTCCAAAGATATCGTCTATATCTGTGGTACACTGCCAGGGCGTTCTCTCTATGGGATCTGTCCCTTTCAAATACTACATGCATAAAGATGTCAGCAATAGCTACGCTACTTGACGCTCCTATGACAGTGCCCTTCGTCTGTTTATATGCCTTACCATCGAATTGAAGGAGGGTATCTCTCATTACATGGAGTATGGCGTCCTCGTATAACTGCCTGTGAGGCGGCCTCCGAACTCCTGCTTCCTGTAGTTGTTGTGTAATTCTGTTCTCATCAAAAAAAAGTTGCTACCACTTTGGCTGCCTCTCTCTGTGGTATGCTCGGGTAGAGCGATACCACATCCATTGAGAAAAGGCAGGCTCTTCTTGGAACAGGACCTCTGATCCTGGCTGTCTCGTTCAGGAAGTTTGTTGTATCTTGAAGGCGTTCCGGTAGGAGTCGTAGAAGGTGGTTGAGAAGGGCTGTACATATCCAGTCTACCTGTCTGGTAGGTGACCGGCAGCCGCTCAGCACTTGTCTCCTCTGCCACGTTCCTGTGATCTCGTTCGGTGGTTTGTGAATCTTTGGTACAAGATAAAGGTGTGGGATGGCAGACTCAAAGGCTATGTAAAAGTTCCTTACCCTAGCTTGCATGAGCCCACCATTCTCTGGCTTTATTTTCAAAAAGCTTGATGACTAGATTCCTGCTCATTGTCAGGGCGTTCTTCTGAGCAGCGTCTTGCCTTGTGATCCAGTGGGACGCCGCCGTGTCCGACAGGTGTCGTTCCATTTCTTGTGTATAGTTATCCTGTCTCCAGATGATGACGGAGCCTCCCTTATCCGCGGGTTTAATCACGATGTCCGTTCTCATCTTCAGTGTTGACAAGGCTCCCCTCTCCTCTCGGGGCAGGTTGCAGTTGTGTCTGTGCTCCGTGTCCTTTCTGAGGTCCTCCTTCAGGTGGCGGATCACCTCCCTCAGTCCCACCAAGTTGTAGTTTGGTTGTGGTTTCGTCTTGTCTGGGTGGAACACTGTTCTTCACAAGTGACTCTTATTCAGACTGGAAAAAAAGATGGTGTATCAAGAAACGTATTAAAAGGGATGAATCCATACTTCTCAGGAAGAAAACAAAGACTCACAGTAAGAGGGTAAAGCTGTCAGAAGGGAGAGGGAACGAGTGGGGTACCTCAAGGGTCGGTACTCGGGCCCATCCTCCTCCTAATATATGTAAATGATCTAACGGAGGAAATAAGCTCATTCTCATCCATGATTGCTGACGATGATAAGCTAATGAGGCGAATCAGAACTGAGGAAGACTGCAAAACATTAAGATAACCAAATCTCGGGAGATGGCCTGAGCAATGGCTACTTGACTTTAACCTTGACAAATGCAAGGTTATGAAGATAAGTATTGGAGTAAATAAAACCAAGGGTAACGGGAAGGTAACTTCCAACTTCTGAAAAGAGAATGACTTAGGAGTGGACATAACTCGGGACCCATCACCTGAGGCACACATCGGCAGAATAACGAGGGTAGCAGATGCCATATTGGATATCTTGAGGTTATCTTAAGATGATTTCGGGGTTTTAGAGTTCCAGCAGCCCGGTCCTCGACCAGGCCTCAGCCCCCCAGGAAGCAGCCCGTAACAGCTGACTAACTCCCAGGTACCTATTTACTGCTAGGTAACAGGGGCATCAGGGTGAAAGAAACTCTGCCCATTGATTCTCGCCGGCGCCAGGATCGAACCCGGGACCACAGGATCACGCGTCCAGTGTTCTGTCCGCTCAGCCGTCGGCTCCCTTAACGTCGGTCCTCCTTAACCTGGCAACCTCAGTCATAACTTAGTGGACTTCTGGGCGTTCTTTTACTCCTCAAGCCCGGCCCGGGGTCAGGCGCGACTTGTGAGAGTTTAATTGGTTCAATAAACTGTTGCTTGAAGCGGCCCGCAGGCCCACATATTCACCACAGCCTGGCTGGTCCGGCACTACTGAAGAAAACTGTCTAGTTTTCCCTTAAATACTTCCACGTTTCTTCCGGCAATATTTCTTATGCTCGCTGGGAGGACGTTGAACAACCGCGGACCTCTAATGTTCATACAGTGTTCTCTGCATGTGCCTATGACACCTCTGCTCTTCACTGGTTCTACTATTCTGCATTTCCTTCCATATCGTTCAACGATAACCGGCAAACGTTCAGTTATCCTTCAAGAACATGGACAAAGATCTTTCCGAGCGTTGTATATGTACATCCTTCGTGTGAACTATTATTGAGTATGCTGCACCGGCATGGAACCCCTATCAAAGAGGCAGGAAATGAAACAAGATAACGTCCAACAAAATATGCAACAAGTCTCGTTCATGAGATAAGGTGACTGAGCTATGAATAAAGATTAAAGGAACTGGATAGAAAAACACTGGAGAAAAGAAGGAATAGGGCAGACATGATAATGACATAGAAGATACTAAGGGGGAGTCGCAAAGTAAATATAGAAGTAATGTTCAAATTAAGGAACAGTAAAACGAGAGGACATAATTTGAATTTGAATAGACTGATGAGTCATAAAGATGTCAGAAAAAACTAATTTCAGTCAAAGAGTCGTAAATAGGCGGAATACACTTGATGAGGAAATTTGTGAAGCTAATTCTATACATAACTTTAAATGTAAATATGATAAGAAAAACGAGTGAAATGAGTCATAGCATTGAACCAACTAGATGAGAACACACACACACACACACACACACACACACACACACACAAACTGGAAGCAGCTAACAGGGCCTCGAGGCTGAGTGGACAGCGCTCGTTGGTCGTAGTCCTATTGACTCCGGGTTCGACTTCCGGTTGAGGCCAACTCAACTCAGCCCATTTGACAAATGGGCTGAGTGTCTTTCAACTGATGCCCCCGTTCACTACCGTTCACCTAGCAGTAAATAGGTACCTGGTAGTTAAACAGCACATAGTGTATTCGACACTTTCACAAAGTTGACACTTGGTGTACTGAACACTCACAAAGTTGACACTTGGTGTATTGAACACTTTCACAAAGTTGACACTTGGTGTATTGAACACTCACAAAGTTGACACTTGGTGTATTGAACACTTTCACAAAGTTGACACTTGGTGTACTGAACACTCACAAAG